TAACGCAAAATTATGTACTTTGCCTTAACTTACATCGATTGACTTGTAGGTAGAATGCTTATCTGTTTGAAGTTGATCATCAGCTCAGTACTAGTAAATGTGCTGTGACTCACTGGCCACTTACTTATACACTTTGTTCAATGGAAGTTTTGTCTCATTTTGTTACTATGCGTCTCAAAAATAGGCATACGTTACTGAATTGCCCATTCATTGTGCTTAGGCCTGTATTTGTAACCACTTGTGTACGCATCATGTGCAAGTTGGAATAAATGCCATGTGTGCATATTATGCTGTTCCGATTTGGGGCTGTCTCTGCACCATCTGCGGTTTTACAAGAGGAGATCAAGGGCTTCGAATATTTGCTCATATAACTGTTCTCTATCCCCGAAACCCATTAAATTTCTTGCCGCCCCACTTCTTTCAGAGTTTGTTGTTTGTTTCTAGTGTCCGCCTAGCCCACCAGCTATCACTGCTTATTTACCGGTGATATGAACTTAACGTTTAGTATTTTTAACGCTCTGAACATTGTGTTTGAAAGGTTTGTGTGAGCATCCACAGAATTCTTATTTACTCATTATATGTTGTTTTCGTATATCCGTGAAGTTTCAGACTACCTTTTACATACTATAATGTTACCTTAGGATCACTTATATGTATGTAATTACCTTCTTGTTGAATTACTCTATCCCACCCACTGGATCGAACGCTACAACTGCATTCTTGTTTATGCAAAATGGTATTTTATAAATCTGAAAGCTTGGTTGGTGGATCCTTTATGTGCTATGCGTTTTCGGCTACAATTCACACCCGGTGTTTTTAGTAAACAATTGCCATGCCGTAGTAAAAAGCGTAGCGGAAAACTGGCATGGCGTGTGGAGATCAGTGGATAGAACACCACTGTGAAGCGCCCCGCAGATAGCACATACTGCAGGTGGATAAGTGTTTTGGTCTTCAGGTTCCATTGTCCTGGATGGTCAGTGTTTCCATTCACTCATGAGGTGTTCTCCAGGTTTTTGAAAGTCGCATTTGCACTTCGCATTAGGAAATGCTTTACAAAGGTTTACGTATATCTTTACGTATATCTTAATCCGCACCATAGATTTGCGTTATCTGTACGAGTGTGATAAAATGCGGACTGAGAAGAAACCCAGGCTATCTACGATCAAGTACGGCAAACGAGCACACTCGCTTGTCCAAGATTGTGCGCTTTATTTTTAATGGTTTAGCAGTCATCAGTGTTACATAGGTAAAAAGGCGGACATTAATGTCCAGAAGCCTTTACCTGCTTGGAAGCGCTTTACTTCCATGCACTTATTTACTGGAACTTTTCTAGGTCAAACGGCTTTGCTGCAAAGACGGGTTATTTGTAACGCCAAAACAGACGCACGCTGCTTTGCGTCACTGAGATTCTCTTTGTTTCCGGTATATATGTGGCGTACGGTCTACTCAGAAGCAGTTATGATTCCTAATTGGGCGTTGTATATTTTACAGACAGTTACTTAAATCAACATCTCGCATTCTGAGTGGCACTCTATAGGTGAATTTCTGTGGAGTGCGCCTAACAGTATCACCAATAGCTTGATTATCTTCAGTTTTTAAACCACCGGCCTAGGCTAACCCTGAAAAACCTTCCTCCTTTCCCTACGGTGACTTATGTGGCCGTGTGTTTTCCTGGGAGTTGCTTTGGAACACTCCACTAAGACCTTGGCATCATCTGCTTACATACATTTTCTATTAATTTTCTCTTTAAAAAACGCAAGATTTGGCTGTTTTTCTATAGTGATCTCAGGCCCTAGTTCTTCGCTTCTCACCATCACTACCATCATCATCATTGTC